ATGTGAATGTTGCCAAGATCTAATTCCATTGAAACAAGTGTGCATGAAGAAAAACGTTGTATTGATGTTACTATGAAAGATTAACTGACGAATTTACACTTTTGATGGATGTTCACATGGTTATGTGCAAGTGTAACTCATTGAATATCTGGAGTTGAGTTACATCGCACAGCCAAATAATTTTTTGCTTAATATGATGTTTCGGTTATATTGACGTTATGCTAGAGAAAGCTATAATTATGTAAGAGAAAGCAATAAAAGCACACATTCATACGTAGGACTTTCAATGTAAGTGCAATGGTTAAACCGTATATGAGCATATAAATTTTACAATTGTTACATGCTTATGCCACTCCATGTAATCACATCATTGTTCAACTAACAAATGCAACAAATTAAAATACAAAGTGTGTACCTGGACAACAGGTCGTAACTGCACAGGCAATTACATCAAGACATCTCATAAACGTATATCATTATTGAAAACCAAACATACTATAACTGATACAACACATTAAACAAAATAACGATGAGTACCCAAGAATTATGGCATCATTTATCAGTGGTATTACTGTATATGTTATATAATACATATTATAAAGTTTCATCAGTTACACTAGATCATTGAGTGCTTTGCATGCAAACATCTGAATAGCTCTAATATGATTGATATATACCTTTTGACTCGTATATACCTAATATTTGATTTTTTCTGTCTTTCTTTTTCTTTTTACGGCAGTTTTAAAATGGAAATGTATACTTGACTATATCAACAAAGACATGAAAAATTGAACAAACAAAATTTATTTGCCTGCAAATGTGTTCCTTTATACAGCTTTTGTATTAAAAGAATGAAAATTGGAAAAGGTTAGACCACTCATTTATATCAGACTTTTTAATTTCCTTGTACCCATTGATAGGTAAAAGTAATTAAAACTACAACACGGTTCAGATTATACATTATTTTCATGACACAATAAATAACTCAAGAATACAAACAAGTGTCAGTTTTTTAAATATTTTTAAATCCTTTTGGATAAACAGCATTTAAACATTCATGCTTTGACCAGTCAATTCTTGCACTTTATTTTACAAGCTTTTAAAATAGTAAGTTACTCTATTAATGCTTCAATGTTTTTTTTAATTCCGTATAATTAGAGATTAATTGTTTCCATCGTAGATATTTTTAGGATGTACCTGTTATTTTTTTATTTTCATGATAATGATACATAGGGCAAGTCTACAAATATTTGTTACTCTTTCTCTGCCCTCCATGTACTAAAACTTACTGAACAACATATTTACAAACTCTAAACCAGACAAATGCTGAACATAACATTGAATATTCTACATTAAGATAACCTAACACAATTTTCGAACTTACAAATGCATTATGACATAGTATTAAATATGTTTTTTGTCATCTATCTAAACATGAATCAAATAACAATCATATTTTAAATCAATCAATAAAGCTAGACATACTTATCGAGGTGATAGACTGTATGGTACTGAAATACATGGAAGATACAGCAGGTGGTTTGATCCATTTGTAGACAGATATACGATTTCTGTTTCCAAAACACAGCATGAAATTGTTGAAATGGGTTGCAAAAGAAAGAAATCTTTACATTATTGATATTCATTCAGCTATAATTGTATATCATGATATCGATATCACCCTTCAGTTGGGAAATCAAAGTTCAAAATTACACCTGTGGTGCAGACAAAAATATTGCTCGACAAACAAAAAACATGTTGGCGTAAGAATGATTTTAATTTTATCTTCGTACTGACAGGTTTCTTATAAACAAAAAGAACTCCACCTAACAATAGTCGAGTGCAAATATATATTGGAATAGACAATCTGAAATTACCGTGTTATGTGTATTTAGAAAAAAAATCATTTGGTGACATTAGCCCATGCGAAAACATAAAAAATAGAGTGATTCTGTTTTTGGGACTGTATTTGTTATACTGAATTTTAATATACCTTCTCAGGTACAGATTTTGCTGTTTTCAAAGAATATAGCACAGGAATACATTATACCCAACAGAAGGGCCGTTTTGTACAACACAGTAAATGACTGACTTATTATGATAAAAGTTAAATATTTAGTTTGAAGTTCGTCTCTTTTTGCTGTTATCTCTTTTCTTAAACACCTTTCTTCTGTTATATACTTCAGTTATATAATTATGATATACATTTTATACGCGCTACTCTTGAAATACATAATATGAATGGTAACGTCAAAGAAAAAAATCTTTTACTTTATTTCATTTCCGAAAAGCTTTGGTTGCCCTATAAATCTATTTAATTATGCATTTATTCCAGATGTACTTATGGAGCGTATACCCAGTTCGTTTGACGCAATAAAATAAGCATCTTACATTCTCGAGATCCCTTATTAAAATATAAAACATATTTTGGCATTTCTTTTGATGAACATTTGTATTCATTTCCGAATGGAAATATGCTTTTATAGTTATCGCTTAACATAAAAATTAGTTTAAAATGCAAAATCATTTTATTAACGTCTTTAGTAATGCATCATGTCAAATTTCATTTTCTCTATGTAAGTAGGTAAAACACTTAAGAAGCAGATTGTTGACGATAGTGTATACACTCATTCATTGGAGAGGTTAATAAATTTGCATAATGGAAAATTAACGAGTATAAAATTGTGCTATTGCACAAAAAGGTCATCAAAATAAAATTAAGGCCAAATACCTCAAAAAAGAGGTAAAGACGATAACAACTGTTGCATGACTACAACTGCATATTATGTCGTTTCATTCAAACATACTTGTACTAAAGATGGTTTATATTTTATGAGTGATACGATACCATCAATACAAAATCTGAATATCACTGATATATCCAGAAGAATAAATGGGACACAATAATCGGCAAAAATCATTGTTTATACATTTAAGTTTGTGCTGAATTATAAGTATATACCAAGTAAAGGTCTTTATAAAATGTGTAAGTATAATATGCTAATATTTAAATTGCTTCAGTAGTTACTTTCATATATACATTCTATAGAAAATGATAAAACAAGACCTGTCCTGACTGTGCGCTTCTCTTGTTTCGCTGTTGGATATCGAATTTAATTTAACAAGGTAAAGAGGGCATACTTTTAAAACATTTTACATCAACGTTTTAGTGAATATCCTTAATATTGATTTGAGACATGTGCTTTAAAAAAAAAGTTAATCAGGGAAATACAATTTAAAGTGAAAAGAAGCATAACTGAGAAAAATGTCCACCAAGACTTATACTTTAAAAGGGACATAACTTTGCATGTATAATTTCAGGATTATCTACCCTATTCAAATGCCGTCCTTTTATGACAAAAAAACATGTATACCAATGCTTAAGTGAATAGTTTTTATTATGCCCCGACAAAGTGGGGTGCATATATCGTTGCACTTGTCTGTCCGTCAGTCTGTCCGTCCGTCCGGACTACGTCTGTCCGCCCGTACGACCCGAAATCTTGTGAACGCAACTCCTCTTAAACTGGATGGCAGATTTTGCTTAAACTTCCAGGGATGAACAACCTTAATGTGTAGATGGTAGTAAGGAAGGAATTTTCGCTGCGACCAAATTTTAAATTAACAGAATTATGGCCCTTTGTTGATTTATTCACTATATACTATGAAGAAATTTTGTGAACGCAACTCCTCTTAAACCGGATGGCAGATTTTGCTTAAACTTGTTGGGACGAACAACTTTATTGTGTAAATGGTAGTAAAGAAGGTAATTGTTGCTGCGACCAAATTGAACAGAATTATGGCCCTTTGTTGATTTTTTCACTATATACCATATAGAAATTTTGTGAACGCAACTCCTCTTAAACCGGATGGAAGATTTTGCTTAAACTTCCAGGGATGAACAACCTTAATGTGTAGATGAAAGTAAAGGAAGGAATTGTTGCTGCGACCAAATTTAACAGAATTATGGCCCTTTGTTGACTTTTTCACTATATACCATATATATGTTGTCAGTGGGGGCATCCGTGTCCTGTGGACACAGTTCTAGTTATAAGAAAATTTACCTTCAAGAAATATTTTACGAACGCCGACGCTAACGCCAAGGAAAGGGTCATGGCAATAGATCCACTTCTTTTTTCTCCAAAAGAGGGAGCCTGAAAAAGAATATCGTTTAAAGCTGCCTTACGAGGACACGGATATTTCTCTTGTTAAATAGCAAGTACTGTCAGAAACACTTTTCCCAAAGCGGAATTGATTGATTAAAGTATATCTCTATCATTTATTCCAATCTCTCATGTTTTTTCAATATGTATAACTTGTTCCTGAATATTGTTGCTCACTTAATATATCTTCATTCTTTTTTAAATGATTTTCTACAATAGTTTACAAATGATTCTACAAATAACTTGCAAAAAAATACAAAAGAGATATATAAAAAGATACGTAAATTGAACTTCCGAAAGGTATTTAATATGATGAATTTACAATATTTTATCTAAATAACTTAAAACGTGATTAAATTTATCTTTGCATTAGCGTGCTTGCTTTATGGCTTCCTTTTATTTGTATGTTAATATAAAGTAAGTGTTTTATTTCTGAAAGTATTATTAGGAAATTCGAGATAGATTTATTCAATATTTTAACATTATCTCTGCTTGCACAAGAAATATATTTAAATATTGTCTTTTAAGCAACCATAAATCCCGTAATTTCCAATAAAATAATATAATTTCAAATACCGTTTTAAGAGAGTAACGGCGTAATTATTTTCATCTTTTGTTCTGTAACACAAAAGAAGAAGAGAGCATAATCAAAATTGTTGGCACAAAATCAAATTTTCGTTCAAAATTTAACTTATTTACAACTTTTCCCCACCTTTATTGATCATTGAAAATATTATATATTGTCGAATATAAATAAACATAGTATAGCGAGTGTTGGAGCTTTTGAAATCCAATGTCAAGGGGTAATGTGAGTCGTTCTGTTTATATAACTGCATTTTTTCAAAGGCATCTCGCTTTTTATCAAAACATTTGAAACCTATGTTCGTTAGTGCAAGATTTACTTGTAGTTTTAGCTATAGTCATTTACCGTGAATATAAGATAAAGGAACTATATAATTATGTAAGTTTTTAAATTAATGATAATTTTGATACGAAAGAATAGGTAGAACAAGTACAAAAATATAATTCACTTAAAGATTGATATTGCGCTGTAGATTATGTAATTATGCTTATATAAAAGATACAAAGAGGCAAAGAAGTTCAAGGAGAAGTATAATCGACATATTGATATTGCTCAATGTTAAACATGCAAAGTTTAGATATGAGATATGTTTACATTTAATCATTTACCGATAATCAAAATATATCGTATACAAATAAGTTTATTGAATATCTGTAGACAAACTGATCATGTACTTCCTTGTAGTTTTGAGCGCAAAAAGAAAAAATACCACTATTTTAAATGTATGTCTAACTTCATATTAGGCACAACTGTTACAATAATTACTGAGTTAGTATTTCATTATTGTGTAAAGATTGGACGAGTTTACTCACGCTTACTCGCCATTAAATTGTGTAAAATTAATTAGGTAAAGAAAGACAAAATTAATTTTGTTAAATATTTTCTAAAACATAATCATAACAATGCATTACAACATTATAATAATAGTAAATTGTTATTACAAATACAGGCTATAGTTCATCAAAAGAATTTAAACACGGTCATTAAAGCTAAAATATGTCATTGAGATTAAATTCGTGCCATTAAAATAGTTACGGTAGTAAAATGACCCATTTAAATGAAATTGGTTACAACTGGGCCAATGGCAAAAACCAAATGCCACATTTGTGTCATACAAACAACGAATTTTTCTTTATGATTTATAGAATTTTCAATGTTTCGAATTTTCTTTTCCTCGAGATATCGAATAATGTTATACTATAACAATATTCTCTCAGTAGAATGTTAGGCAAATCATGTCGAGACTGATGCAATATAATTCATGCAAATACCATTAACGTTGTTCTTGTTGTTTGTTTGTGTGTGTGTGTGTGTGTGCGTGTGCGTGTGCGTGTGCGTGTGCGTTGGTGCGTGCGTGCGTGCGTGCGTGCGTGTGTGTGTGTTTTAATATAAATTCCACTTTCAATTATCGTCCATGAACAGGCTCAATCAAATCAAGTCGCAACATTTTAATTTTGTCGTTTTGTGTGTTCTTTTGGAATTATTTATATCGCTCATTTCTACTTTTACATGATATAATTAAATAATTTGAATAACTTAATATTTTTATAATAGATAATAACATTTATTTGGATACAATCGCCTTAAATCCTAAATACATTTTTAATATAGAGAGCAAATGCCCCCTTAAAACATGTTGGGGAATGTTTTATTATGTTTTCTTACACTTTTCGTTTGTAATTAATATAAACAACACTTTTATGTATAATTTCCTGAGTTTTTACCGGAATAACGATTCTGATTCGACGCGAAATAAATGCCTAATGTTATTAAATAACGTTAAATCTAGTTACTGTAGTGTTTAAGAATGTTATGGTAGTGTTATCAATTGATTGATTGATCCATTTATTACTTTTTATTAACTCATTCATTTATCTATTTTTGTTATTCATTATTTATTCATTTTATTTATTTTACAGTTCCCTTAAATATGAACATTAAGTTACCAGTTACTCTTATTTAAACGCGTTAAACACACAGGTGGCAGTATCAGTGTTTGGACACCCCAAACCACCATGCCCCTTGAGCACTGCTACCACCCTGAAAAATATAATTCACTACTAGGGCTGACTATAAAATACTTAATACAAAACAACCGATACAATTAAAAAAAATCTTTTTTTTTTCAATATCAAAACTATAGTTATAGAACGGTGAAAAGCCTACTATATGATCATTTGCCAACCAACGTGGAACACGGGAAATCGTCGTTTCGGCGATTGAGGCGTATTCCGGCGGCATTTTGCTGCATCATTCATTAACATCAATGAAAAGAACTAGAATTCCACAGCTTACCTTATTTAAGTCAAATTTGGCTCGTCCAATCAGACAGCGTATTGCAACGCAGGTATCAGAATCCAAAATGGCTAAGACAAGTCAAAAAATACCGTGAAACAGAAAACAAATTCGATAGAATATTAATATTCGTTGGACTTGAATTAGGTAAGCTGTGTAATTCTAGTTATTTTTATTGATGTTAATGAAAGACGGAGCGGAATGCCGCCGAAACGACGTTTTTCCGTGTTCCACATTGTTTGGCAAATGAACATATTGTAGGCTTTTCGCCTTTCATAACTATAATTTTGATAGTGATTTTTTTATTTTACAATTTTAACGGTGGTTTTGTATTAAGTATCTTATAGTAAGCCTTAGAAGTGAGTTATTCTTTCAGGGTTGTAGCAGGGGTCCAGGGGCACTGCCACTTGTGGTAAAACACAAGTTCCCTCCCCTAAACATACAAGTAAGGACCATGATTAACACTGAGACAATACTGCGCTTGGAAATTTGTTCTCATAAAAGGGTTCGAATTGCATATTATTAACTTCATGACGCTGCTGTAGATAGCAATACACATATGTATTTAATAAATCTGAGATTTTTAATGTTTTACGACAATATATCTAATTTTAGTTTTGTTCTATCAGGTCCCGTAAAATTTTTATATTCGGTCTAGTAACTCTTTATCAACAACATAAAGACAAGAAATTTAAACAGAACTGTTTCATCAATTAAACTAAAGCAGATATATTCGCGCAAACTTATATTTGCGTTTCTATAAGCCGAACATTAGTCGGTCGCGAATATTCGTTGGGTTACTGTACATGTAGTTATAATCCATGACTATATTTATGCTATATTACTTTTAAATCATCAGCCATAAATTAAGATGAAAAGATGATAATTAACAATTTAAAATAATTTTAGGACACACTCCTTCAGATGAGTCAAAGAAATCTTCAAAAACTCAAACATAAGGAAATCATGTTTTTTATTTAAGAAATGTATAAAAAAAATCTTATTCTAAGCAGCGTTGTTTAAAATTTATTTCAATTTACAAAATATTACAAGTGAATATTAACCATGTTTATCACCTAATTTCATATCAGGTGACCAACAACGGAAGAGAAATGCCTGCGTATTTATAGGGTACTAGCTCAAATCCCTCAATCGTTACACAATTTACAACTGTTTTAATATCATGTTAAAGTTATCATACTGTTTGTTTGTTTGTTTTATTTTACGTATTTCAGTCATATAGGCGGGTTGTTTCCTAACCATCGTTCCTGGAGAGTAACACCAGTACTAGACTACCTTCCTCACAGTTTTCATACAGTTATCAAAAACTGTGTGGGGTATTTGGTATAAATTAGGTATTATAATGAATGAATGTTCAATGAAATATTTGTATGTTTTAAATTTTATATCAAATACAATACTTTTAGCAGAAATTATAAACATTATATTTAAAATTAAGTTTATATAAAGATCATGATCCTTAAAGCATGCAATGTTCAAAAGGATAATTATAATAGAATATATAACATTGGCTCACAAATAACCTATTATACACAAGGACGTTTTATCGAACATTTCGTTAGATAATATTTGTAATATAAAAATCAATCGGAATAGGACGTAAAAAGCAAATAAATGTGTTTAACCTAGTTCAGGTATATTCCGATCAAGTTCAATTTAAAATTGAAAGGATATTAGTGTATGTAAGTACAGTACTATGTTGTAATTCAAATAATATAAAATGATGGTAACGTATGAATGTTGTTTCATTTACTTCTTTTATTCAAATCTATTATTAGATTAATATGTTACCAGTGTACAATTTATGATTCAACACTGACTTGTTTACAATTATCCCCTGTATAAGAAATCGGCAGGTGAATATAATATGACATTGCCCGGTGTCTTACAAACAATCTATCAGTCCGATCGGAAATATGCCGAGCTTTACGAGTTACAGTACGTTAATTATGTTTTTGTTTAATGTTAACAATGCCACAAAATAATAAAAAAGCCTATAGCCCAAAATGTAGGTTAGTCCGTTTGTCCTCGGGATATCTGGTGTCGATATCCCGAACAGACTGTACATGTTGGGAAAAGTAGCTTATGGTATAAACAGTGGTTCCTTGTGAGGTTACAGAGGCCAAAGAATGTTTCAGACGTAATAACGTCAACACAGGAACAATATCCTTTCGCGCGTCTGAAGCCAAAGGCATATTGTACCTTCGTTTTGGCATAAAGGCAACGATCACCATGTTTCATCAAAATCTGTTAATAAGTTATTTCAAATTGAGACCTTTTGTTACTTAAGGGCATTTAAGGTGACTTTTCCATATACAATATAGAGCCATGATTTACAAGTGGTTTATTACGTTGTAATGGCATTAAGAAAAAACCTGTTGATAATAGTGACTTTGTACAGTTAAAAAATCAAATTCATCAAATATATCAAAATCTGAACATGCAAATTAAGTTTTGCTACGTAACAATATTAAGAAACAACGATTTTTGACTAGTTTTTCATTAGCTTTTTACAAAATTCAGCATGAATGTGTATAAGGATTTTTTTCTTGTCTGTAGTTATTGTTAAAAATTGAATGTGTTAAGTTGTGGTGACTTTTATCAATGAATTTAAATTTAAGGCGTCCGTAGCCGAAAGGTTAAATTCGTTGACTTCAAACCACTTGCCCCTTACCGCTGTGGATTTCACTTGAATAAAGGATTTTTATCAAATGCTTCCGGCACTGAAATGCAATTGTTATTTTTGTAAATTATGGCCCTTCTTTGAACGTTAGAAATATGCATTTTATTAGAAAATCTCAATGTACTAGTCTTTATTATGTCTTGATGTGAGTGTGTATTTCAGTAAGGATATACTATACATAAATATATCTATTCACAGGGAATATAGTGACCCTGAAATAAATGGTGTTATGATCATCAAGTGTCACATAATCTCAGTGTCTAATAATGGCCTTATAAACAGTGTGTAGGCAAATGCGATGACTATTTGTGAATATAACCAAGTTGTTACCCACACTTTAAGAAACATCTTTTAAATTAATTCTCGAACTGTAGTATGTATCACTATTATATACATATTATGTACCTGAAACATTTGAGATTTTTTAGGATATTTCAAAGTTCTAAAAATACGAAACACTTTACCATCTTGATTTCCGCAGGGTTCCAATATAGCTTTAATGAAGAAATCAGAGGCGGAAAAAAGTAGATATTTACCTGATGGTCGCTTGTTGCTCCGCGCCCACAGGCGCGGAGCTATTTGTGTTATCTTTTTTTTCCATGGACCCGGTTTTTAACAATTAATCCCTTCGATTTAAAACTAAAAATAAATTCGTGTTCAAGAACTCCTTTCGATTTCATATATATTTCGAGTCATATATTGGTTTCCTCTTCGGTGATTCGCAGCATGTCATATTAGTGAATGAAAACCGGAAAGCAGTATTGCTGTACATGAATTCGAAAGCTATAAATAACTAGAAGACCTTAACATTGTGAATTTCCGAAAATCTATTCATTGTTTTGTGAACAGCGAATTCGAAAAAATTGACAGTAAACATTTATAAAAGCTACTTGAAAAGAAGTACTGTTTTTAGGATGGTATATCAGGCCAACATTTTCTTTACTCATACAGTCCAGGTCGTTGGCACAGCTCAGTTATTATTAGATATGATCAGCCAGTGAAGGTCGCGTAGAATCAGCTTTCCGAGTGAGCTCTTCAAAAAATATCAGACTTTATGAATGAATTCATCACTGCTTTGTCTATATAGAGTTGAAATGTTGAGCTATATAGTAATAGAGATTTTCTCAGATTATTTTTTCTGCTGTTAATAAGTTTAAAGAATAGTTAATCAAATGTAAGTGTATCAATCTTGTATAGCATAAATAATACAAATATATATTTACTTTTTGCAAGTTTATGCTGCACTAATTTGCACTAGTTTTTTTATTAAAAATTGAATTCTTACCTTTTTTGAATAACTTCTTTAGCGACGAATGACTACGGAAGAAGTCCAAAGGTCAGATAAAAAACAAATTCAACGTTGATTGGGTTTTATAGTGGGGCTGGAAACAAAGCATTTATCAATATGCTTCGGACCCACAGCTTTTTCAACAATTCATGTTTGATTGTGTACATTATTATTATTATTATTATTATTATTATTATTACTATTGTTTTTATTATCATTATTATTATTTATATTATTATTATCTGAATATTTACTGCGAATTTTAAAGTTGAATAAATGCTTAAGGGGCTCCATTGAGGTTTTATGGCATGATGGGACTGAAAATATTTTTTCCAGATAAATGTACCTTTTGATGTAGGTTTAGACCACTAATCTTTGTGCAAAATTTCAGATCAATTGCGCACTTGGTTTTTCTAGAATAATTATTCAAATTTTAAAAAATGACCCAAATTGAAAAGTGTTAAAACGCTTTTCACTCAAATCGGGCTAAAAAGGGCATAAAAGTACGATTTTTAATTTATTTCAATGTATATTTCTTAACTGTCTTTGCATATATTTCTGTTTAAATTGCCTCACCTCATTTATGTAAGAAATTCAAATGTTATGTTTTAAGGCTTTTAAACCTCAGTGGAATCCCTTTAACGTGTATTTGTTTGTGTTTTTGAACTTATGTCTGTATTGCACAATAGGCTGTATACATGAACCACTCTTGCACCATTTTTAACATTGTTAATTAAGGCGCGCAGTATTCAGGTCGCACAAGGAGTCGTTCAGACTGGTTTCCGCAAGTGGGTCGCACGCCAGTCCCCTTTTGCACATAACGCAAACAAAAGGGTATATACGCTGATATTTTTGTCGGGGTTCTTTGAGTTGAGTTGTAGTTTAAGTGTTTAATTTGCTTTTAGACTCTTGCTAGTATATAATTATGAAGCATAATTTTATTTTAATTGTTTTACTTATCATGGTTTCACTGGGACTTAATCTATACAAGCATAGAGTTCTAAATGAAAGACGTTTTCAGCGAAAACGTGTTTAAATAAATTTCTGGGTAATTTGCATTAAAAAGCCTCCCGTTAAAGTTCAAACTACAATGAAACTATGAAAAATTCTTCAATACCGATGAAACGTGGCACAAATTTTAACTGGACCATAGCCTCTGTAACAGCATGCTCGATCTTAAATTTCCTGTTACCATAGCAACGGGGGACCTCTCAAAATTGCCTAAAATCACTATTTTGCATTGTTTTTTTCCATCTAAACTGATTTCAAAGTGCTGCAACTTCTTAATGGATTGAGATAGAGTAATTTGCTCTATTCCTTGCTTGGATGCCATTGGATGCTTTGCATCAATGCTTTTCTTGTTATATCATGATATACCATTTGCCGCGAAACATGCAAAGGACATTTTGAAAAGTAAAGTCAATGAAAGTTTGTACCGTCCACGAACAGGCTCAATCAAACCGAGCCTGCAAAATTTTCAATTATCAAAAATTGAGCTTCTCAATTGCTGCGTTGCAGCAACATTTATACTTGTATTTGATTATAAACAAAACTTGCTTATGGTAGACTAAAAGAATCTTATACTGTCTGTCAGTAGAGACCAGAATATCTACCTCGGGGGTAAATGTTAACACAATAACCCGAGAGCTAGATATTCCTATCCATGACGACAGCCGATGTTTGATACGTTTGCATGCATATTACAAATTAATGATATTACGAAAATAAATTACGAAACTGATATTTTCATTTAGCAATTTTTTTAATAATATTCATAACGGCACAATGCCGTCATCCTAAGAACGCAATTAATTCATTAAAGACGCGTTTGAATGGAGTCATTTAAAACACGCGACTTGTCTTACATGGAGGTTTTGCTAGCACCAATGTCAACAGCCAATGTTTGATATGCAAGTAATTATATTGTAAATGCACATGTCCACTTATTGTCAAATTAAGCAAACAACTTTCAATTTTCATCAGGCACAAATGGCAACTGATTCACCAAAGACTACTAAACTGAAGCAACGGTTAATTGTAACCGCAATTGATATAGGGACAACATACAGCGGCTGGGCATATTCTACACTAAATGACCCTGACAAGGTCTATGCAAATCAGGCATGGTTTGCTGACGAAGGGTCATTTGCATCTCTAAAGACGTCATCGTGTCTCCTTTTTACACCAGAAAAAGAGTTCAAACATTTTGGATATGAAGCAGAAACAGAGTTTGTACGCCTAGCTGGGGAAAATGAGCACCAAGGCTGGTACTATTTCCGAAGATTCAAAATGGCTCTGTTAAACGATCAGGTAAGATTTCTTGTGAACTCATGACACTTATATCTCATCCTTGGAATGATGAATCACTTCAAAGTATTATATCACATAGATTTTATATATATGGGAAAGAACAATGAATAAATCGATCTCTGCACGCACCCATATAAATTAAATATAAACTATGCTTTATAAACGTAGTAAAACAGATACACTACTGTAGCATAACATTTATTTTGTATAAAGAAGCTATAAATTGTTCTGAATCAAAATATTTTGATGGTCTTTCCTTGAGTACCGCTCCAGCTAGTGCTAGGGGCGTGAACGATGTTGTACATTTTCATTATCCGCAATCACAGCGTACACTCCTCGTCCGTTTGTTAGCGAGCAAAACGCGAAAAATCGCCGATTTTCAACTGAAAATGGATAAATAAAGACAATTGCTGGAGGAATTAGTACTTTTATAAATAGGAGATACATAAAAGGGATTATGTCTGTATATTAAGTCAAACGGTAAAACCTTTATATTTCATAAAAATACGATGTCCTATCCCAATTATTATAAAGATGTCAATCTGTTAAATTCGGACACTGATTTCAAGCTTTATATATAAAATACGAGCAAATCCTCTTGTCACTTTGAAGGATAATTATGCGAGCTTAAGAAAATTCAACAATATCTCGTGAGCACATAGTCGTTGAGGGAAAAAAAGACAAAAAAAAATGATCATTGGTGTTGTTTCCTATGCTAACTCATTGAACGGTTGCTTACAAAAACAAATTAAAATTTTATAATTTCGTGATAATTTATTTATTTCAAATATTTTTTAATGAATTTAATATCTAAAATTACATATAAACGGCGTGAGTACACGTCAATGTTTTGGATATGGAAAATACACGAACATTGCTGAATTGATGAACTTCATTTGTTAATATGCATGAATTCAAAGTGTGTGTTTGTTGTTTTTTAATGTAATGTTCTCAATGTTTACATAATGTGCTGTAAAAATGTCGTTTGTAAATGAAAAGCATAGTCTAGACTTATTTGGTCAGAACTGCAGATCAATTTGTTTTGAACGATAATATAAGTTTTCTGGGGTTTTTAATATGTGACATGTAAAAAGTGTGTCTCACTGACTCTTAAAATTGAATGTTGCCACAATGTCAGTGAGATTATCTGTGCAAAATAATTGATTGATTGAATTACGTCTCATCAATGAACATATTATAACTTTGGCTGACACACACGCACGCGCGCGCGCGTGCGCGCACACATACACACACACACACACAAAAACACACATATGTATAAATTGTTACGAGCTAAACGCAACAGAGAAGATAACACAGCAACAAATTTTACAATTTTTAATTAAAGAAAATCAATTATCCACCAATTCATAACGATATTGAAAGTGTTTGTGTCCATTTATAAAAAGTTCATGCATTTATTAAGTTTATATGATATGCTAAGTGAAACTAACTCTACGCTAGGTAGATATCTAAATAGTCTGCTCTTGAATATACTATTTTAATATTATTTCAATTTTAAAAAGATATGATGCATACTTGTTTTAGGGGAAAAGCAGACAGCATAATTGTGGGCTTCCCCCTTAAAATCAAATGTTTTAGAGTGAGCATTTTTATTAAAACTTTATTGAAATGCAACTCGGCATAATACAAGAAGTGCTGAACTCATGACACTAATGAATCATTTCGGACATTGTCAGTCATACTCTCAGATTTTCTAGTTGAATACTGCCATGTGTAACAGTACTTTTGATAAGGACACTGATCTCCCTGATACAATGTCCAAAATAAAATTTGAGGAATAAAAAAAGCATTCCAAGGACATAATTGGCCTTTAAACTCCAAAGAAAGAAATTATAAAATGAAGGACATATTACTCATGTTAACTTTTCTATTTAAACATAACAGAAATTGAATCGATATACTACAATCGAGGACATATCAGGAAAAAAAATGCCAGCACTAGTGGTATTTGCGAATGCTATAAAGTTTCTGAAGGACAACTTTACGGCAACGGTTCGGAACAGAGTACCCAGTTTAGAAGACACTGATGTGACTTACGTCTTAACTGTTCCAGCTATTTGGGATGCTATGGCTAAAAGATTTATGCGAGAAGCAGCTGTCGAGGTACTTCTTTACTTTGAAAACGTTATTTCCTGACGGTTGAGGTAGCGTCTTAAAAGCATTCATTGGGAAATGTCGTTTTTATGTCGATAGTTTCAAAATTAAGATAATCCTTCATCATCAGTTTGCGGCAACGATTTGGAATATAGTACCAGGTTTGAAAAAAAACTAAATGTGACTTACATCATAACTGTTTCTGCCATCACGGATTATATGGCTTTGCTGTCAAATTCATAAATGGGTGTAATGAAAAAGGCGTCTGTAGCCGGGCAATTAGAATTGTTTACCTCAAATCATTTGTCTACCCGCTGTTGGTATAATTAATATAAGCAATTATAAAATATTGACTAATTAATTTTAATGCATATTGGGACGTATTGGATGCGGCATGTTTTTATAACATGGCATTGTTGAACTTCAGGCTGGGATTCCAAATAAACAGCTGGTTATAGCTCTTGAATCCGAAGCGGCGTCAGTTTGGTGTCAGGGAATAAAAACAGAAATTCAACGTTGCGATGAAATTGATGCCTTTGGCATTTCAGCTGTTGGGACCCGTTATATGATTGTTGATTTAGGAGGTAAATATAATATTATAGATAAATTATCATTGATAGAAAATGTTATGCAAGGATAAGCAATTGATATTCTAGGTATTGATTGTACGACTTATCAGCACATTTTTTTTTGCATTTATTTAAATTTAATCAAGACAAAAAGTCATTATTATTTCCAGGAGGCACTGCTGACATCACTGTTCACGAAAGAAGACCAAACAATACTTTGCTTGAGATACATGAACCAATAGGTGGTCCATGGGGAGGCATAGAAGTTGACAAAAACTTCATTGAATTGCTTGTAGTAATCTTTGGTGCGTCTGAATGGGAGAAATACAAAAGAAATGAGTTAGAAGATTTACTTTACATGTACAGAGATTTCGAAGCAAGGAAACGAAATATACAGCTAACGTTCAAGCAGATAATTATCAAAGTACCTTCAAGCTTAAAGGAACACTACGAGCGAAATAGAGATAGATCGATTTCGGAAGTTGAGCATCTATTTGACGGGAATATAACGTGGCAGAAGGACAAATTGAAGATTTATGCATCACTTATCGGGAACTGTTTTGAGGAACCGGTTGAAAAGATCATTTACAATGTGGAGAAGCTATTGTCAAAGCAGAAACTGAGAAACGTCAGCAAAATAATACTTGTTGGTGGTTTTTCTGAAAGCCATTACATACAAGAGAGCTTTAGAGCAAAATTTGCTGACAAGCAAATTATCATACCAGCTGAATGTGGACTAGCCGTCCTAAAAGGTGCTGTTCTCTTCGGGCACAATCAGTCAGTTGTTACCGCTCGAATTGCACGTTATACATACGGTGTAAATATTGCTGTCCCATTTGATCCTACAAAGCATCCCAGGGACAAAATGATTGATACTGATGCAGGTAAAGTTTGCAAAGATTTATTTTGGAAAGCAGTTGAGATCGGACAAGAGATTAAGGACGGACATGAAGTGTCAAGAAAAGGACGAGCAGTAAATCACTTTCAAGCACAAGTTTCCATTAAATTTTTCAAATCAACTGAACGAGACCCGATTTTCACAACAGATAAAGGATGTCAAGTAATTGGAGACATTATGGTTCCGATGGAATGTACATTAAAGGCCGAGGACAATGCCGTCGAGGAAATTTACATATTTGGAGGCACAGAATTAAGGTTTAAATCCAAACACTTAGCTCGTGGGGATACACATGAACTTAACATTGATCTTTAATGCACTATAAGCCCATTCTGTTATGCTGACACCCACTCCGATCCCAATTGGAAAACATTCGTATTTAAAATTAAATCATTGGTAGTGTTCAAATTCTAGTCTACCCTTGATTAACTTGTCATAATTGAAATGTACAATAATCACATATTCTTAATTTTTGACTGATTGTTTGGTATAAAATCATTGTATCAGTCAAGTTTACATATTTTTTATCTGTAAAATGGACATGTACTGATCGTTTAGACTTTTTTATTGAAATAATACATACTTAAAAGACACCCTGAATAAATTGTAAATTTTTATCCTTAATTCTTTCCTGGATGCTTATTGTGGCGTTTTGTTGGGGAAATTACATCTCAAATCTCGAAACAAAGATTTAAGTACGTTGTTGTGTAACTGTTTGATAATTTCACATCGAATTATTTACTTTGTTTTTTAACTTGTAAAAATCTATTATACATTGACCGTTATAAACATTCTATAAACATGTAAAATATTTGGTACTAAACTAAGCCTACAACATTTTCAATTTTGTCGTCTTAGGTGTTCTTAAAAGCTTCCCTTTTTCTCTATATTATTGATTTATTGATAAATTTATTTTATTCTTTTCAAAATGCGACACTTTAATTTTGCTATGTATTAGTTCTGACTAAAACTACAAATAAATGTTGTAATTACGAACCTACGTTTTCAAATGTTTGAATTAAAAGTGAGATGCCTTTTAAAAAATGCAAAACCTTATGATAATATGAACAGAATGACAAACATTATCTCCCTTTACATTGCATTTAAGTAAATTTACGGTACTTTAAAATATCTTTTACTCGCTGTACTATGTTTATTTATACATGTACAATATATAATTTTTTCAATGATCAATAAAAGAGGTAAAATGATGTAAATAAGTTAAAGTTTGAACGAAAATTTGATTTTGTGCCACCAGTTTTGATGATGCTCTCTTATTCTGTTATGCTACAGGACTAAGAGATAAAGCAAATAATTACTTTTAGCATTGTCATACATAGAACAACATACCAATGATAAATTTGTGATATTTTCTGACTCGCTTTCTGTCTCCATTAAAAGATTAAAATTTTCAATATCTCAATGACAATATCATGATTCGGAAACTTCTTTTACGATTTCATGATGTACTTAAAACAAAATATGTTAAATTATATTGGATTCCAAGTCGTGTAGGTAGGTATACGAGGAAATGAAAAAGTAGATGCTTTAGTTAAACAATCATTAATTTTTCAACAAACTGACTTATTGTTACCTGCTTGTGATTTTAGACTATAAGCAAACTCATATCATCGGAATGGAGAGTAAATTGGGAAAATGCCGTTTTAATAAACTAAATGATATAAATCCATTTCTTGGTGTGTCACCATCTCTATCTCTGTCAAACCGCCATGATCAAATAGTTCATCTCCGATGCCGAATTGGACACACTAAAATTACCCACTCTTATCTCCTCACGAATGACAATGCCCCTGTCTGTGAAGTTTGTAATGAGAATTTTACTGTCAAACATTTTCTTCTTGAATGTCATGATTTTTCACAGGCCCGTACTAGATTTTATCATGTAAACTCACTCAAAGAACTCTTTAATACAATTCCATCAAAAAGCATCATTGATTATTTGAAAGAGATAAACTTGTACTCTATGATTTAATTGACTCATTCTTATTGTCATTTACAAAACATTGTACATGTATAACATGTTTAGCCTATTATAGCATTCGGCACGATATGGCCAGTTATGTGTTGACGGGCCGTAAAAATCCAAACAAACAAACTCTTAACAAGTTGTTTGAAATTTACATTATTATCTTGTTTTTATTCCGGCATTATTGTTACTCAATGACTTATTATATTAAAATATTTTTCTTGTGCAAGCAGAGATAATGTTGGATAATTGAATAAAACAAATTCGAATTTCCTAATAATACTTTCAGAAATAAATTTTCACTTTATATTTAACAGACAAATAAAAGGAAGCCAAAAAGCACACTAATACATGATGCAAGCTAAGTTTTAATCACGTGTCAAGTTTCCTTAGATAGAATATTAAAAATTCGTCATATTAAATACCTTCCGGAAATTCAATTAACATATCTTTTTATATATCTCTTTTTTTGAAATAAATTATTATAGTAAATCATTTAATAAAGAATGAAGATATATTGAGGGAGTAACGGCATTGAGAACTATACATAATGAAGAAAACATGAGAGAATAAATGATGCATACTTTTCAATACATTTTCATACAATCACTACCGCTTTGTGCAGTTTTTTGTTTCTGCAAGAAAGAATGCTCAAAAAAGTGAGCAGTACTTGCCCTTTGTAGTACTAGTATATTTTAAGTGTGAACGGATGTATATTTTTTCAAAATGTTATCACTTGTTTATTGATTTTGAATTGCAGACAGAGGCGCTATAAAAAACTGCATCTCATTAAGTAATCACGTAAACTGCCATAATCATTTCTCTTGATATGCAATTACCTGGTTTATGACACTTTTTTATGACTTTAAACTACTTTTGAAGTGTTTTGTATAGTATCAACATTTTTTTTAAAAATCTGAAAAAAATATGTTTGTCCTCGTAATGCCGCTTTTTGAGCTCAACTTTTCGGAATGAAAACAGTGGAGCTTTTGTCATGATCCTCTCCTCTGCGTAATCGTTAGCAACTTATTTTAACGTAGAATAAATACCTAAAGGTGTCAAATAGCAAGAGTCATATGCCGTGCATATATGATTAGGGACTATATGGTAATGTAAGTTCTAAAATTAATGATCATTTTTTATACAAATGCAAAGTTGCACAAGTATAAATTGTAATTCATTTAAAGGTTGATACTGCTATCTAGATTAGGTAATTATGCTTTCATTAATTATACAAAGTGGCAAAGTAGTTCAAAGAGGTATAATCGACGTGTTCATATTGCACAGGGCTAAACATGCAAAATGTATATCTGAGATATGTGTTTTATGCTTTTATACATTAAAGCATTTTCCGATCATTTTTCAAAGTAAATCGTTTACAAATATTAAGTTTATCGAAAATCTGTAGACAAACTGGCCTTGAACTTCCTTGTAGTTTTGAGCGCACAAAGAAAAAGACACCACCATTTTAATGTCACAGCTTATTTCATATTATGCACAACTGTTACAATTATAGGTGAAAATATGTCTTTATTCATTTTGTTAGCATATGTTTCGGAAAAGTAATGTATCTTTAATTATAATACTAATCTTTTCAAACTGTCGCCAGTTTTGCGATGAAGTTTTTACATTTTGATATATGACTATTTGAAGAAAAACGAATTTTTACACGCTTATTGACTTTATAGATTTATAGATTTTGTAAATTGATTCGGTAAAAAATACAAATCTAATGGTGTCCCCTAACATCTATTATAAATATATCATAACTCATGACAGCATTATAACCTGGTATTACAAATACACGCTATAGTTTACATAATAATGACACAAACCAGATACCTTATTTTTGTGATACAAATAATTACTTTTTCTTCATTTTCTTCATGATTTATAAAATGTTTACCGAAGTTTTATTTCCTCAAAATACGATATCATGTTATACTATACAACATTCTCTCTGTAGAATGTTGTGCAAAACATGCAAAAAATGATAAAACATAAATCAATGCAGGCACAATTTACGTTTAAAAGTAAAAAATCACTAACTGTAAATAAACAAGTTATATAAATTAAGATTTTTTATAATGTTTACCAAAAACATATAGTTTATTTATTCGCCTTAAATCTTGAATACATATTTTGTTTTATAAAAAGGGCAAATGGCTCCTTAATAACATGTTGTGGGACGTTTTATTAATTTGAATTGCCTTCAATACATCGGGAATTTGATGTGTATGTGCCACATTGTTTACCGAAATCACGATTCATTATTCGATGTGAAATAAATGCCTAATGTTCTCACAAAACTTTATAGCTTGATTTAAAAATGTTTCGGTTGTGTTATCAAACAAATTATTAATGGATTAATTAATTCATTAAATTAAAATGTAAAATTAATTAATCAATTAAATAATTTATTTAAAGTTACATATAATTATTTTTTTTTATTTGTCAAACTGTTTATTTCAATATGTAAATTAAGTTAATAGTTATATTAATAGTTATATTAATGTAAACACTTGCATTAACAGTAAGAATAACTCCACGAGACCTATGGGAAATGAACATAGGGGTAATAATAATGAATATTTAACTTCATACGACTATACAGTGGTAGACTTAAGACATTAGTGGTATCTGCTTTATCATATTTTACATTTAATCGTTTTCCAATATACAAAGTAAATCGTTTACAGATATTATATTACGAAAGTATGTCAACGAACTGGGCTTGTACTTCCTTGTAGTTTTGATCACACAAAAGAACCGTCACCATGTTGTTGAATTCGTGGCAGCAGTGAGTTTAAACATGAAGTTGAATACATTTTGATATATGACGATTCGAGAACAACACGTATTTTTAAAGAGATTCTCGGCCGGAATAAACGTGTTTTTACTTGTATAGTTCTGAATACAAAAGGAAATTTTAGGTCAGCGATTGTAAAAAAGCCATATTTACGCATGCAAATTTTCTGTCTAATTGTTTCGAAGACGTCACCACAAACAAAACATAATTATTTGATTTAAACTCAACATTTTCTTTTCAATTCATTCTCTCCTCATGTATACGGCTGGGATCTGTGACATGGAAATATCGAAAAAAAAAAAAAATTGGGAAATTTCTAGTTACTTCAATTCGTTTCAAATTTGTTAAAAGTACTTTTTACTTCTATTGACATAAAATTCGTAAACAAATTGACATAATATATGATGCTTAGATCTAGGAAACACTGTTACAAATGTTTCTTAATCAAACTGTCTTGTTTCGGTAATGGTACCTTACACTGACATAATCATTTACAAATTTATATGTGCTTCATTTATATAATATGTATTATATGACTTCAATTATTTGAAGGAAACAGAAGATAACTTCTAGAGATCGAAGTTTTTAATGATGTGTCTTTTGTATTTTTATGCACAAAATTTCCGGGAATCGTTTGAACCGATCTTAAGAGATTCTGCTTTTCTCTATAAGTTTAATTTACGTCTGACAGGATGTTAATCGGAAACAAGATTATTGTTTTAACGTAAAATAAATACCTCAAGGTATCAAATAACTTGACCTTTTAATCATAATTCTAACCCATTAATGGGTTAACACTCATGTTTTCGTATTATTTGTTTTGTAAAAATGCAAACCATTTTATATATAAGGGTCATTTGCGAGGGCATGATTTCTCTAAAATAATTTTATTAACATTTTATCATGACACTTAATTTTAAACATTCATATAAACATTTATACAAGTGTCATAAACTAGCACGAAAGCGACCATTTACTTCTTTGTACCAAAATCAAACTTAACAAATCTGTAGTGACCTCACATGTCATTTGTTATTTACAGATGCTTTAATCAAACAAAGCATACAAATGCATTTTATAGTTATATATATCCCTCTGAAGTAATCCAAAATAATGTCAATCATTGTGAAATGTAAATCTAAGAAATGCTTACAAAGCAAGAAAGGAATAACTTATCTGACAGTTATGCATATTATTTTTGTTTTACTACGACTTTTATCAGTTTGT